GAAGCCTGAGGCTTTGCTCGCCGTCTCCCTGGTCTCCTGGTCTCCAGCACTCCAGCGGACCAGGGAGACGCGGAGCAAAGCCGCGGAGCACGGGGGCAGCGGGACAGCCGCGGCGCATCTGGGCTGTCCCGCTGCCGGCGTGCTCCGCAGCTTTGCTCCGCATCTCCCTGCTTTGCTGGGGGTGGGTGGCTCTCCAGGCTCTCCCCCCAGCAGACCAGGGAGACGCGGAGCAGCTTTTCTCGCCCCGGAGGACGGCGGGACAGCGGCGCATCTGGGCGTCCCACCACTCCCGCACATAAGTCGGATCCACGTAACTCGGGGACTGCCTGTATGCATTACTGCTTTAACCTGTAACTCTCTCGTTTCTTTTTCCAAGTTAATAAACCCTCAGTTATTTTATTATAAGCACTGTCCGCAGCATGAGATCTAAAATTCAGATTTACCGCCTAAGGTAAGAGATCGGTCTCTTGGGACAGAGAGCAACCTGAATATTTTGTGATCTCAATTCCTCACAGGATCAGGCTCAAAGTTTACATATATCAATGTAGAATCACAAAGTTTCCCGAAAGTTTGAACAGTGAACAAAATTCAAGTGAAGCATGGATGCAGCTCAGACCTGAACGTGGGCTGACTTTCAGTATTACTATGACTTAAGCTGAGCAGTCTGTACAGCTTACAAATCTTCCAACATGTTGGGCATTCTTACAAGGGCAGTTATTGTTTGTAGAAAATGCATCTTTTGCTCCGTCATAGAAATGGTAAATCTCTAAGGAGCAACATGATATGTAGCAAAGAAACTGATTGCAAAAACCCAACCTAAAATATTACATATCGAAGCCAACAAGACAGAAAATTCAGTTCCTAAGTAGGTCCATAGGAGGCTTTCATGTTGATGAAGATTTCAATATATATATATATAGGAAAAAAGTTAATGAGGAGAAAAATAGAATGCTGAAATTGAATGTGACGCATAATGGAAACCTTTCCATGGCAAATTTTTGGTGAACTGTAAACCCTTTTTATTTATCAGATAATTATATAAGGATGTTTTATTCCTCTATTCTATCCCACTGAAAATTATTTTTATGAAAACAATGTATATATTTTGTTCAATCCAATATATGTACCTCAATCCAGCCAGTTCATTCTGGTATGATGATATCTGTATCTCAGTTTCCTCTTGGAAAGCTTTTGTCTGATGCAAGGCTCTCTCAAGGTCATCTACCTTGCTCTTTAAATTTGCTATCTCAGCAGCTGCAAGATTAGCTCCTTCTTTAGCCTACATAAAAAACAGGTTTGGTAAACAAGAATAAAAACCCCATGATGGAAAAATCTCTGTTAGCACCAAAACTATATTTACAGAAGCATGGCTTCCTCTCATTTGTCTCATTTGTACTTGTTCCTGTTGTTTAAGATCTCAGACTTATCCTAATTGTGCTTTCCTTGTTCAACTTGGATTTTTCTAACTATTTTGCTAAATTATTAAATTAACTTCACAAGTCTCCAAAAGAGAGAGACTAACTCCTTGCTTTTTTCTTTAAACTTTACATAATGTATCTAATCAAATCTTACTAGTCTCTTCCTATCCATCTGAAATATTTCCAAATTGCTCTTAAGATAATTTATCTCACTTATGCTATCAGAGGCAATGGGAAATGAAGCCGTGTCCTGTTTAGCTTCATGAACTACCTTTGACTTGCTCAGCTCCTGCAGCAATCTGTCTCGGTCATCCTGAAGACTAGCCATTGACTTGGAAAAGGCATCAATCTGTTGAACATAATTCCCACACTCTGATGAGAGCCTGGTAATTTCAAGGTCTTTGGCGGCTAATGTCTTGCACAAATTTTCTATTTCCTCAGCAAGTTGATCAAGAGTGATCTCATTTTCAGCATCAATAAGCACTGAGTTCAAATATTCATATACTTTTAACACAGTGAAGAGATTTGATTTAAAATCATTAAGGTCAGCTTCAAGTTTATCTGCTCTTTTCCTTTCAAACTTCAGTTCAGATGCATATTTGCATTCAAGTAGCTTAAAATCCTCTATTAATTGGTCTCTATCATCTTGCAAAGCAGTCATAGCTTTTCCAAAGGACTCATTTTGGGATCTCAGCTTTTTATTCTGAAATTGTGCTTCTAATAGCCTCCTTTCTGAAGACTCATCAGCTTCCTTCCACAGGAAGCTAGCATCATGCTCAAATTCTGTCATACTATATTTATCTTCTATATCTTTTGGATTTTTGCCTGTTACATTCTCGACATCTTGAAATATGTTCTGAAATTGTTCCCGATGTTGTACACGAGCCTTGAAATCTTTATTCTGATTATGTTGCCTACTCCCCCTAGTTTGTGGTTTCTCTCCAAAGTCAGAAACCAGCTTCTCTTTGTTTAGTGATGCAATTAGAGTCTCTAAATCTTTAACTTTGGAAGTTAATTTTTTATTTTCATGTTCTAGAGATTCTCCGCTTTCCTTCTGCAATTTATTAGTCAGCGCCATTTCTTTGAGTTGATTCTGAAGATCAGTTTTTTCCTTTTCAAGGTTCTTAATGCAATCCAGTTGCTGTTTAAGCAACTCTTTCAACTGATGATCCTTCAATGACAAAACTTGGTTAAGATCTTCCCGGTACTTTATTAGTTGTGCATTTTGCATTGCATTTTCAGAATGAAGATCATCTATCCGATTCAAAAGTTTTCTTAATTCTTGTTTCAGGGTACTGTTCTCACTAGCACTGTTGGCTAATAAACTTTCTTTCTGACTTAAAACATTTTGGTGATGATGCTCCAGATCTCTGTATTTAGAAAAGAGATCATCTCTGTCATACTGGAGAGATGACATTGATTTTTTAAATGCATCAATTTCATTGGCAATCTCAGCCTTATCTTGAATTGCTTTGTCTGCTTTCTTCTGGAGATTTTTCAATTCATTTTCCATCCTCTGATAGGCTTCATCAAATTGTTCTCTCTCTTTTTGCAGAGATCTTATCTGTTGTTCACATTCGTTCATCTGTTCTCTATGCTGAGTCTGTATCCGAGTTAGATATGCAGATATTTCCCCACCCTTAGAAGAAATCAGTAGAGAAATTTCTCTATCTTTGTTGTTCAACATTACCTTCATTTGTTGAGAAATGGCAATCTGTTTTTCCAACTCTGCATGAGTCTTTTCCTTTTCAAATAAAAGTTGTTGTAATTCCTGTTCTTTTTTAGCAAAATTACTTTCTAATGCTTTTATCTCTCTTCTTGCATCACTATTAATCTCTAAAAGATGATTAAGAGAATTATTTTCTTTAAGCAGTGCTTGTAAATCTTGTTCTTTTGACTGAAGAGCAATTTCTAATTCTTGTTGTCTGCTGATAAGAATAGCATTTTCTTCCTTTATTCTACATAACTCACTATAGTGTTGTGCATCTACAGATTTTTGCCACAAGTGCATTTCATTCTTAGATTCTTCTAACATGGAATATTTAATTTTCAATTCCTGTATCTGTGCCACTTTGTCCTTCATTTCTTCTTGTAAGGTTATTATTTTCTTACTACTATCATCCAGCTGTTTCTCTTTATTTTGAATAACTTCTTTAAACTGTATTTCCCAGGTTTTCATTTCACCAATTACCCGGTCCCGGTCATTTTGGAGAGAGGAAATACATTTTGTAAAAGCTGCTAATCTGGCCAATGTTGCATTCAAATCTGCTTGAAGTTTCTTGTTTTGAGAGTCCTTAGTGTTGATTTGCTCTTGCAACTGATGTAGATCACTAACAGCCCTGTCTTTCTCTCTCTGAAGAATATTATGTCTTTCTTCAAAGTCCGACCATTCTCTTTTGTGAACTGTTTTCAGTTGCTGAAGGCCAAGTTCTAATTCTCTCTCACATTCTCTCTTCTGAATTTGTAGTTGATCTTCTTTCTTCTTTAGTTCCCTTTTCCTATTCAAATTCTCAGCTGTAAGCCTTTCAAGTTCAATCTTTGACTCATCCAACAAAGCTTTTTGGGAAGAAAGATTTTCATTCAGATTATGTATCACTTCATTTGATTTTGCAAGCTTTTCTGTGGCATTATTTAAATCTTTTTCAAATTTTTCACTCTTTGACTGTGCTAATTTCTTACATCTTTGCAAGTCCAGAATCAGTTCCTGGAATTTAATAGAATCTTTTTGCAACTGGTTAATTTCTTGCTGTTTTTCTTTTAAGAGCTCTTGTAATTCTTTGGTTTTGTTTTTTGTACCACTATTGTCTCTCTGGGCACATTTCACTTTCTCCTCTAATACTTTTACAAGATGCAACTGTTGTTCCTCTTTTTCCCTAATCACACTGAACTTCTCTGCCTTTAAGTCTTCCAACTGTTGAAGAAGCAAACTGTTTTGTAACTGTGCAGACTTCAGTTTGTCTGTCAGCTGATCCACTTTTTTAATATGGTTGAGCAGCTCTGTCTCCAGAAATTCTCTCTCATTTTTTACTTTGTAAGAAATTTCTTGCACATTTTCAAGTTCTTCCTGTAGAAGACACTTGTCATCTTCTAAAATCTTAACTCTTTCATTTAAGCTAACAATTTCTTGTTTAAGACATCTAGATTCATTTTCTAACTTTGACAGACGGTTGTTTTTCTGGTCCAAAGACTCTTCAGTTTCTTTTAGTTTTGCTGAAATCAATTCTGTCTCCTGCTCTATGATGTGCATATTTCTCTCTTTTTCTGAAATATCATCATTTAACAAAGCAATCTGCTGTAATAATGATTCTCTTTCATTTAAAACATCGCTGATTTTAGATTGCATATCAGTCTGGGACACATCCATTTGAACTTGCAGGTTTTCCAAAGCTAATTTAGTTACACTAATGTTATTATGAAAGATCTCATTTTCATTCTCAGTTTTCTCTAATGCCTGCTTTAAGTTTTCAGACGTGTGCTTCAATTGTACATTTTCCTCCATTAGCTCCTGGTTCTGCAGAGCAGCTTCATGAAGACGATGCTGGTGTTCTTCCATCCTTGATGCATGTTCACGGGTCTGCTTTTCTACTTTACTGTTTACTTCATCAATTTCCAATTGTTTGGATTCAGCAAATTGTTTCAGTTGGTCCCTTATATCTTTGTTTTCGTTAATGGCTTCTTGAAGCTGTTTTTCAAGCTCATGTTTTTCAGATTCCCTTTCACTGAATCTGTGAATAGCTTCTTGCTTTTCTTTCCTAGTGATATCAATAATCTGCCTCATTTCTGCTATTTTGCTACTGATATTCTCATAGGCTTGCAGAAGTGACTCGTATTCTTGCTTTAATTCATTATGTTTAGCTTTCCATCCTGTTAATTCAACTGTCTGAGAATCTTTTAAGGTATTAAGTTGGAAAGAAAAAGCCTCTTTCTCCTGAACTATAGTCTCCATGGTAGATTTAAGACTTTCACAAGCAGCAGTTAGGTTTTCATTTTCATTTAAGAGCCTAGCATTTTCAGAAACAAGGGACTCTTCTTCGCATAATGAAGAAATAGTATCTGAGTTTTGTTTTACTCTGCCAAGTTCAGACAACAAGCGTTCAAGAGTACAAGCTTTATTGGTCATTTCTTCTTTTTCTAACATTATTCTATCAATCTGATCTTTTAGAAATTTGTTTTCTTTCAGGGCTTCCTTACGTGATATTAAGGCTGCTTGGAGCTTTCTTTGGATACGTTCTCTTGACTTTTCATCTACAGTGTCCTTTTGCTCTTGTGGATGAAGCTCATCCACATTTATATTTTTCTCCATCTGCTCTGGGGTTGCTTTTGTTTGTTTCAGAATTCTATATTTTGTTCCTTCTATTAGCTTAGTTCTCCCAGAATGATCATGTTCCTGTGACTGATTAGAGATTTCTCTGTCTTGTAATCGCCCTTGGAGCAAATTAATTTCTGAATGTGACTGTGCCAGTTCCTTGCCAGTAGCATTTTCATCTTTAACTTTCCTGCATAATACCATAGTATTGCTACCCTCAGAAGCTTCTACAGTCTTTTCATGTAGCATATTTAACTCCATCAATAGTAGTTTGTTTTCTTCACTGAAATGTTTTAATTCCTTTTTCATATTGAGTAATTCTGCATTGGATTTCTCCAAACTGTTGATGAACTCTTCTTTCTCTCTGTTCATTTCTTCAAAAGCCATTTTAAAATGTTTGGCTTCTTCCTGGCTTTCCTGCAAACTGAGCTGTAACTGCACAGCTTCTTTCAATATTGCCTTTTCCTGATCAAATTTATCTTTGAAATCTATTAGAGTACAATGCAGTGTCTTAATTTCCTCATCCTTTTCTGCAACTTGTATATTGGCTTGTTGAAGATCAACCTTAAGTTTTTCAGATTCCTTCTTGTAATCCTCTACACTCTTTTTAATTACAGCTTCCTTTTCATTATTTATGCACTCAATCATATTTTTAAGATCCATTATCTCAGTCTCATACTTTTTCAACTTTTCATGCAGTTGAACCATTTCAACTAATAAGCTGTTTTTGTGTTGCTCATGCTGCTGTTCCAGCTGATTCATAGAATTCTTCAAATCTACTGTCTCTCCTATTTTCTCACAAAGTTCAACTGATGTCTCTCTCAACTCTTCCTTTAACATTTTTGTTTGTTCGCAAAGTTGTGCATAGTCATTACTTAGTTTCTCTAACTCACTGTCTTTCATTGACATTTCAAACATTTTCTGTTCTGATTTTCCTAAAACATCTTGAACCTTGTGTTTTTGTTCATCTGACTCCAACCTGTTTTGGTCAGTAGTTTCTTGTTCTTGGAGTGCTGCCACATGAGACTCCAACTCTTTCTGTAGAGAGTAAGCTAACAGCTGACTACAATCCAACTCTTTACACTTTCTTTGATGAACTTCCTGGAGTGTTTTGTGTTCATTTTTGAGAAGTTCAAGGTTTTTAGTTTGTTCATCAAAATCTGCTACAAGTTTAGTGTATTCTTCCTTTTCTTTCTGCAATTTCTTAATATTTTCTTTCCAGGACAAAAGTGATTCCTGAAGTTTCTTCTGAAGGGTTTCCTTATCTTCTTCTAATTGACCTGGCCGATTACCAGTGTAAGGTTCTACCAAATTAGTATCTTTAAGTAATTCCTCCTTGTCATCTACAATTTCAGCCTTCAGATTTTCAAGAATTGCAAGAAGTTGAGAATGTTCTTCTCCATATTCTCTCTCTTTCTCACTAAGTACGGACTGCATGTGAGCAAGCACAGAGTCTTTTTCCTGCATGGACTTTAGGTTTTGCTCAGATACTTTTTCTTTTTCAGCCAGGATATCTTTTAACTGTGCAATACTGTTCTCAAGCTGCTCAATACTGGAGACTTTAGCAGAAAAACTTTCATTCATGTTATTTATCTTGGAATCTTTCTCAAATAGCTGCTGCTTCACAGTTCCAAGATGGGACTCAAGATCTTTATTTTGTGTTTCAACGAATTTCAACTGATGTGTTAACTCACCAACCCTCTTCAATAATTCCTCTGTTTTTTTATGCTCTTTTTCTATTTCTTCCTGCCCAATCCTTTCAAGTTTTTCAAGTTTTTGCATTAGGTCTTTTCTTATTATCAATGCAGCTTGAAGTTTCTTTTTCATGATCTCTTTTTCCTTAACTAATTTCTCAAGATTAAAATGCAGTTGCTCTTTTTCATTCATTAAATCTTTAAATGCAGTTTCTTTGTTGCTTAATTTAACTTGATTATGTTTCAGTTCTGTCTTACAATCTTGAAGTTGCTGGGATATTTGATTAATATCTCCTACATAAGTACTCTGAACAGCTTCCAGATGCTGTAGTTTGGTGTTCAATATATTTCTCTCTTCAGAAAACTTCACCATTTCACTAGACATGGATTCCTTGACTTGAACAACAAAACAATCCTTTTCTTTCAGCTGCTGATTTAGTGCAGAAATTATATCAGTCTGCTGGTTAGTCTGTGAAGTTAAATTTTCTACAAGGTGGTCTCTTTTCTCTATATCTTCTAGGAGACTCACTATTTTTTTACCTTCAATGTTCAACTTCTCATGACTGATTTTAAGTTCTTTTTCTGATTCTTCTAACTTCTCTTGAAGCAAAATAATTTTCTTGTTCCTTTCTGCTAACAATTTTTCTTTTTCTTCTGCAAGAAACTGCTGCTTACATAATGTGTCTTTGACACTGGCCATTTCTTTTGACAGACATTCAATTTCAGAATGACAGGTGCTTTTCACCTTTTCAAGATCATTTTGCAACAACTCCTTTTCCTTCTCTATTGACTGCATACTTTTTAACTTATCTTTTATAGTCTCCATTTCTTTCTCCTTTTCTAAAAGAAGTTGAAATTCTTTGTCTTCCATCTCTTTGCTCAGAATAGTAGATATCATAGCAGAGAATTTTTCCAATTTAGTTTTACTACTACTGCTAACTTGCAAACCAACATCTGAAGTTTCTGCATCCTTTTCTTTGAAGAAATGTCTACTACTAAGTAATGCAGATAACCTTTCAGTTAGCTTCTCTTCTATAATATCCAGCTCCTGCTGTAAAGACTGGATTTTACCATCCTTTGCTTTCATTTCACTTTCTAAATCGCTCAGCTGCTCTTTAAAAATAGCATTTTGCTGAGTTGCCCTATCCAGTTCTGTCCCCGACTTGTTTTCTGACTCAAGCAGACTATGTTCTAACTTTTCAATTTTAAACTTTAATTCAGAGACTTCTTCACCCTTCACACTAACCTGCATTTGTAACTGTTCTTTTTCATTCTTCATCTGTAATTTGACAGCATCTATCTGCATTCTTGAGTAATTCTCAGTCACGTCTAGTTTTTCATGGATTTCTCGTAGTTCTTCTGTTTTCTGTTGTAACTGATTTTGGTATGTGTTGAGTTCTTTGTTTTCTACAATCAACTTACCAATATTCTCTTGTAAGAGAATTTTCTCCTTCACTAAAGAATCCACCTGTTGCTGAAGTCTCTCTATTAAAATTGTGCTGTCATGGCAGTCTTGAGAGGATTTGGAATGTACATTGCTCAGCTCAGACTTTAAATGTTCAATATTTTTAGCCTGCTCAGTGCACTGTTCATAGAGATTCTGTAAAGTTAGCTCTTTTTGCTGTGTATCTTTTTTCCATATATTTATTTGGTCTTGTGCTTTTTGGTGTTCACTTTTTATAGAATCTAGTTCAACTGTCAGAGAATCAATATCCTTCTGCTTAACAACAAGATTTTCATCTTTTTCATGCAAAACACTAGTAAGGCTTTTAACAGCTGCAGCATGTTTCTCTAGTTCCTCTCTAAGCAACTCTATCTCATTAGTAAGAGCACTAATGTTGCTCTCTGCCAGCTGTATACTGACATCTTTTTCATTTAATGACTTAAGCAGCTCAACTATAACTTCCTCTTTCTTACTAAGTGATATGTTAAGTTCGTTTCTTTGCTCGTACTGAGCTGCAAATTTTTCCTGCAGAGATAAGAAGGCATTTTCTTTTTCCTGTGCCAGGTCTTTGGACTTTCGTATTTCCTGTGTCAGTTCACGCATCTGACTCTGAAGCTGAGAAACTAACTGTATCTTCTCTTCATCCTTACTTGCTTTCTCACTTAGCTTTTCGAGGAGGTTTGTTTTTTCCATAAGAGAAGATTCTTTTTCTTGCATGGACTGGCTAATATAATTAATTATATTTTTCTGATCATTTGTTTCTTCCTTTAGTTTTAGTGTGGCTTCTTCCAGATCCGTAACCTGGTTCCTTAAGACCTCACATTCTCTATCTTTGTTATGAAGATCTGTCTTCAATTTATCATTAACCAACGTGACATTATTGACAGCCAATTCCTTCTCCTGAACAATTATTTTTAACTGTTTCACTTCAGAGGTCAAAGACACTAACTGTTTCTGTTGCTTACAGAAAGAGTCCTGTATTTCAGAAATGTGTGTTTTCAAACTAACATATTCATCTATTTTTTGCTTTAAAGACTCATCTTTCTGTGTAACTGACTGATTCAATTCTGCTGTTTTTTGCATCATATTTTTAAGCTGACACTGAAGGTCAGAAATTACCTCCATATTCTCAGACAGTTGAAATCTAAGTAAATCAGACTCTTCAGATTTATCTTTAAACAACTTTAATTCTTGTGCTTGCTTTTTAAATTCTCTCTCTTTTTCTTGTGCTGCCTGTCTAAGTTGACTAGTTTCAAAGCTTAGAGCTTGTACCTGGTTTTGCAAATCTGACATTTTCAAATGCTGCCTTTCCCCTGACAATTCATTTTCTTTCATTTGCTGAATCAAAGCTGCCTTCTCAGAAAGGAGACCTTCTTTTTCCTCAAAGCCAAATTTTAATTTTTCATTTTCAGTCGTTAAACTATCCATTTGGTGTTTCAAAGCTAAAATGATATTATCTTGCTGAGACACGTGTGAAGTTAAGGCAGTTATTTCATCTGACTTTTTCATTACTGTAGAATTGACTGTTTCAATGTCTACTTTCAATTTTTCATTTTCTAGGTTTAGTGTGTGTGCTTGGTGCTTTGCTGACACAATTTCTGACTGGTGCTGCATCAACTGAGACTGAAGATCAGTATATTCACTTGACTTTTTGCTACATATAACTGAAATGTCTTCCTTTTCACGTTTTAGTTCATCCCGTTCCTTCCTTAGAAGTTCTATTTGGTTATTTAATATGGCACTTTTTTCAGTTTTCTCCGCAATCTGCCTATGTAGATTCTCAAGCTCTACACCTTGATTTTTTATATTAAAATCTTTCTCTTCCACCCACTGAGATAACCTTATATTTGCCTCCTTAAGCTTTTGAACTTCATTCTGTAACTCTGCCATATCCATTTTATTTTGCTCTGCTTGTTTAAGTAAAGAATCATTATGAAGGATTTGTTCTTCTTTCGCTTCAATATCCACAGTTATGTCTTGAATTTGTTTCTGTAATATTAATATTTTTTCCTCACTCTGGCTAAGCTGTTGGACTAGTGCGTTACACTCAGTCAACTTACTATTTAACATTTCTTCTTTTTCTACTTCTCTGTCTTTAGCAACCTTCAACTGAATGATGAATGACTGTACTTGTTCATGTAACTGCTGTGTCAGATCCCTGCTTTCACACAACTGATTGGTTAGCACATTACACTCCATTGTTTTCTCTAGCAGCTGTTCTGTGACTGAATTTTCTTTTTGCTCTACAAGTGTTGAAAGTTGATCAACCTTTTTCAATAGCTCCTCCTTATCATAATTTAGCTCTGAAAGGGATTTTTGGTACTCTGTTTGGTTGACAGATAACTTATTCTCCATCTCTGCTACAGCCTTGTTTCTCGTCAACAGCTCACATTCCTTCATGTCTAATAGTTTGGACAAACTCTCATTTTCACTGACTAATTGTTGCTTTTCTTTTTCCATAGTATCTATGATATTTCTCAGATCTTCATTTCCTTTTATTTGCTCTGACAAATCTTTTTCTTTCTCCTCGAGAGCTGCTTGAAACTGCTTATTAATTAAAATAATTGCCTGTGTCTCTGTTTCCATCTTACTAACTATGTCTTGTCTTTCAGTTACTTGGTTCTTAAGTTCTTTAAATTGTGTCTCTTTGGCTTTCAGGTCCCCAATTAATTTAAGTTTAGTCTCTTCACTTTGCTGCTCAACAACCTGAAGTTTTTGCTCTAATGATGTAATTGTCTCTAGTTTCTCTTGTAAAACCTTTGTAACTGTTTCTTGCTCTTCGGTACGTTCTGCAAGCTGTGTGGTTAACTTAGCCAATTCTTCATCTTTTTTTGCAGCTTCCAAAACTAGCTTGTTGTATAAATCTTTAACTGACTTCAACTCCTTCTCAAAACTCTGTTCTCCGATCTCTTTCTCTTTAAGCAGACTCTTTAGTTTCTCATTTGTAGAGCTGATTTCATGAAGCTGGGATTTCAAATATTCAGTTTCTTCCTTGTGTTTTGCCTCAATTTCTTGTAGTTTTTCACAACTTTTAATAATTTGTTCTTTCAGCAAAGTAATCTGTGATTCACACTCCATGAGCTTGTTATGGAATGTAACCTTATTGGACTTGATTTCAGAACGCAGATCCTTAATAGTTGTGCTGTTCTCACTGATTTGTCTTATCAACTCCTCATTTTCTTTGGTTTTAGCTTCAGTCTGGCCTTTAGATTTCTCCAGTTCCAATCCCATTATATTACTCTGCTCAGAAAGTACAGAAATCTTCATGCTTGCATCTCTTACATCAGCTGTTTGAACTTCTTTGAGTAAGAGGGTTTCTCTTTCAGCCTTTGACAATGCTTCTTCCATCTCTCGTATTTCTTCCTCTTTGCAATGGATTTGGTGTTTTAAAATGACAATCTGTTCAGAATACTCAGTCATACTGGAAGAGAGAGCAGACATTTCTTTGTCTTTTTCCACCAATACTTCCTTGAGGTTGTCAATTTCTCTTTCACGTCGCTGTAGGTCTTGAATTAGTTGAGATCTCTCCTCTAAATGGTTTGTGTTCAATCTATCAAGTTCTTCATTTGTTTGGTCAAGTTCCAGTTGCATTGACTCTACCACAGCATCTTGTTTCAAGATCTAAACATCAAGAAAACAATAATACAAAATACACTGTAACTTAAAGTGTAGGTATTTGAAAGGAAACTGCTCTCCTTCTTATGAGATCAGTACATTAAGCTAAATAATCAATCTTGTTTTACAATGCTTGAACTATAAACTTGTATAGTGATAAACTAACAAATTAAGGGTTATTTTAAGATGGCTTTCATAGTCAGAAAAGTTGTAATTGTAGAGTATTTTTAATTCTTACATGTTTTGCTAGACAATTATAATGGATCAAGCCAAACTAACATTTTTTTTACATTTCCACATCACTTTAAAGAGTTACCTTTTCCTTGAATGTAGCAACTTTTTCTGTTAGATCACTGATAGCTATTTTCTGTTCAGTACAATCCACTTCATATGCATTAGACTTCTTCAAGACTTCATCCAGCTTAATATAAAAGAAAATTTTCACTGAGATATGTTATTACACCAAAAATGCCTATGTATGTCTGCAAATTAGAATAGTAAACTTAAGTTTACATAATACTGATTTATAAACTAATATACCATCTACACACAGGGATCTTTTAATTGACCAATGAGACACAAGTTTGTACAGATAAAGCATAGCAACTATATGATGAGTCACAGCAACATCAGACAACAGTTCAGCACAAGTAATACCACATTTAAATGAAAGTGCAGAAGATAGGGTAGCCAGGTGTCCGGTTTTGAACCGGACAGTCCAGTATTTGAGCTTTCTGTTCAGGAAACAAATTGAGAAAATATAAATGACCAGTATTTTCTAAATAAGATATAATGTAGATTGTGACGTAATGTCAAGTGTGTCCGGTATTTTTGTTGAAACCATCTGACAACCCTAGTAGAAGACGCTAACTAGGAAAAAATTATACTAGTATATTGGACTATGACCAAGAAGCTAAAGTAAACACCCCTAAATTTTCACCATTTACATATCATACATGAGATGTCAAAACAAAAATGCATTCACAAGAACACCAGCTATTGTTCAAAGGAATGTCAAATTACTGTAAATGGGATTAGATGGGTCAAGAAATCAGTAACAAAAGAATGAGCCCATCATCCCCAGGTCACCAGTTTCAATGTGGCAGAGAAGAGGCACACCATCACATTGACAGAGAGGGGACAAAAAGGCTTCTCTGGGACTGTTCAACATCAAGGAGGGGCACCTGCAATACTACTTCTGCCTGGATGGGGGGGGGGAGAGAGGGCAGGGGTTATCTTAAAAGGGAAAATCTGCTACTGGAAGGGACAGTGTGAATAAGGGAAAAGCTTCCTGACCTCAACAGCTGAGACAGGCCCACTGAGAGGAAGACAGCAATGAGCCTCATGGCTCCCAAAGCTACATGACATATACTCAGAGCAGCGCACACCACAATGGGGGGGAGGAGAGGGGAATTAAGCTCGAAAGGCTGACCGAGGAAGACTTCCTGAGTTCCAGGTCACCCTTGCTTCTTTTCAATTTCCCAAGGATCCCCCTCTCTCATAAGGGAAGTAAGAGGGCAGAGGACTTTTCTGTTTGTTTCCTTCAAGACCCCCTTGTGCATCTGCTATATGGGGAAGAGAGAAAGACAGTACAAGGACCAGAAGAGAGTTTTGGAAGGCACTTGGAGGTACTTTTGTCTCTTATACCATTCAACAGATATTCAGTGGCATTTGTGAAATGAACTGTCAAGTCTCAGTCCAGCTCCTTGTGGGTAGATGCAGCTCTGTTAGCAGTCTCAACTAAGAAATCAAAGAGGCATAGAGACAGATCTATTGTACTTGTCCCATAAGAAGGAAAATCCTTTAGAAGATGTGGAGTGTATTGACAAGGCAATCTTGGGAAGCCTGCTATTTCACTTCCCAGAATGTATATAACTAATATAGCATTAATAAAAGTGTTTGGGTTGCTAGTGTTATCACTCCCGTTCCTTTTCCAGTTATTGATATTTTTGTCAAATGGTAAACATTTTTTTTAAAAGCCTAAAACTTGCATGCAATTAGAAAACTATGACCCAATATAACAGGTTTATATTTTCTTTCATTATTTTTATTAATTCTTTGCAAAACTTCTCCAAAACATAACATTCCAAAACCAAAAGAATGCTACCTGAATTTAAAAGTCATAAAAGGGTAGCTGTGTTAGTCTGTAACTTTTAAAACAATGCAGTTTTTTGGGGGGGGAAAAAACTCACAGTCTAGCTGTTCCCTTAGGTGCTAAGCACTATTCTTTGCACTTGAATTTAAATTCAACATTGTTCCAAAAGCAATTATTTTCAGTGCCTCATATACTTCATATATTTGTCTCTAAGGGTATGGCTAAACTACAAGTTTTTGTTGGAAAAAGGTACGCAAAATGCATTTTGCATTTTGTGTACCTTTTTCCGCTCCTTTTGTTTGAAGAGGCTTTTCCAACATTTGGCCTGTCTGGACTTGGCCAAATGTTGGGAAACGAAGAGGCTTTTCCAACATTTGGGAAAAAAACCTCTTTCGGAAGCCCCCTTCCTTCATCATAGAACAAGGAATACAGGACTTGGCCAAATGTTGGGAAAAAAACCTCTTTCGGAAGCCCCCTTCTTCATCATAGAACAAGGAATACAGTGGCTTCCGAAAGAGCGCTTTTGCTCTTCCGCAAAAAAAAAAAAAAGCGGAAGAGCAAACGCGTTCCCTGTACGCGGCAAACTTATTTTGGGATATCGCTAGTATCCTGAAAAAAACCCACAGCCTAGCCATTCCCTTAAGTGCTAAGGACTATTCTTTGCACTTGAATATAAATTCAACATTGTTCCAAAAGTAATTATTTTCAGTGCCTCATCATGTGTTCAACTTACCTTTTGTTCAGTTTGCACAAGCTTTTCACCAAGTTCCTTGTTCAAAAGATCTTTTTCCAGAAGAAATTTCCTCAAATTTTCAATCTGTTCTAGTTTTTCTGTTGTGTTCAACAGCTTTTGTTCTTTCTCTCCAAGTGAAGCTTCAAGAAAGCTCTTTCTATCACTTAATCTAGCAAGAAAATACTTATTTAGAATTTGAATATTCAATGTTCATTTTATCAATAGCACAGGTTGAACATCTAAAATCCGGGACTCTCTGGTCTGACATCATCCCTCATCTGGAATATCCACGGATACTGCTGGATCCCAGAGAGCCTAGGCTTGCCAGGTTCAGGGGTTGGTCTGGTGGTGGGGAACATGGGACCAGTGTGGCATGGAGCAGCACACCCCCAAGTGGGGATTGCATGGCTTGCCAGGTTCAGGGGTTGGGGAACATGGGACCAGTGTGGCATGAAGCAGCACACCCCCAAGTGGGGATTGCATCAGAAAGCACAGCTCCAACCTGGGAGCATAATCCCAGCGGCAGCAGGGCCAGCACAATGGGAAGCATAGCCTGGCCTGGCAGGGGGCAGCACTGTCTGAGAACACAGCCCCAGCCAGCGAGGGCTGGCAGCACAGCCCCAGCAGCAATAGCCCAGCCCCAGCTGGGGTCAGCACGCTGGATGCACAGCCTTGGCAGGGCTGGGGGAAGTGGGCTTGCAATGGTGGTCAGGAACACCACCCGGAGGGAAGCCTTGACCTCCCCCGGTCTGGCAAACTGTCATTTGGGACCGCTCAAGTCCTGAGGGTACCTGACCAGGGAGGTCCCACCTATATTTGAAAACTGAGCTTGTTATTTTCCAGTCTTAACTTTTATATTACTGTGAATTCACTATTGGCATGCTTAACCTAAAAATAACCACGTCCAGAAATAATCAGATTTTACTACTGTATTGGAAATCAATGTTTTCAAGTTTTCTGAAAGTATTATCATATTCTTTATGATCCACTGCGAACATAAATTTAAAGCTGCAAAAAGACATATGTACAACTGCAACTGGTCCTATACTGAATGTTTTTTAAAAATATTATTTTACCCTTTAAGCTGCTCATTCAAACTAGAAACAAGCACTTGGTGCTTTTCTGCATCTCGTGTTTGCTGAGTACGCAGTTGATTGAGCTGGGTTTGCAAACGTTCATTTTCACTCTGCAAGAAAGCAATGATGAATATGATTATAGCTCACAAATATCCAGAATGGCAATAAAACAGACCTCTGGAAAAATTGCTCCTCTACTCTATATAGAACATGAAATGCTAAAGACTATTGATCAAGCATATTAATAATTACCAACTGAGGTCTGATAGCAGATGTTACTCACCTCTGAGAAGTTTCTCTCTTAGTGATTCCATTATAGGATGAAACTAAAGAAAGAGAGACTCTAAACACTTTACACAAAAGGCGACAAAACACACATACCCGCACTGTGTGAAAGCAGCTTACTTTTCTGTGCTTGCCTTCACTGCATTATTAGCTTGAGGTATAACTCAAGATTTGCCCCTATCCTGATTGCTGTCCACACTCAAAATCTCTAGCTCAAGTAAAGTGGTGAGTTAGTGGACTCATAAGGGGGTTGGTTGAAGCTTGACTGCTGCTGATGCTAGTAATAATGGAATTAAGCATATGGAGTCACTACTCATCATCTGCTAATTAATAATTCTGTGGTGTCAGTCAAGTCAAGCTACATAGCTGAAGTGTTGTTTCAGAGTGGATGCTCTATTCCAGTGGCTCTCAACCTATGGTCCTTGGCAGTACTGTGGGGGGTCTACGGAAAACGCAGGGTGAAGGACATGCCGGCAGCCAGCAAGTCCCTCAGCCCGCACTGCTACCTGAGTAGGCTGAGGGACATGGCTCGGGAAGCAGCATGGGCTGAGGGATGTGCAGGCTGCAGGCACAGCTATATTGTTTGAGGTGTGTGGAGATCCATAAAATGTTTATAGATTGAAAAGGGGTCCGTATGCTTGAAAAGGTTGGGAGCCACTGCTCTATTCCATTCTCATCCAACACTGGCTATCTTCAATGGGGTAATTCATACGTATTTACTCAAGTTAACTGTGGTAGTAAAGACAAGTTCTATAAGGAGAACGCCAGAGACAGTTCATTCTTTGAGAACATTTTCAATACTGGTTTAAACACAATAATGAATTCCAACGGTTTCTCTGCAGAGCTTTAAAAACTTTTGTTGCTGTTCTGATCAAAGGCAACAAGCAATCTGCAACAGATCTGCAAAATAATCTGTGGAAGGAGATTAAAAGAAAAATAAAGCAAGCTCCATTCACACAGTTTGTAACACAGTACATAAATCTGTTACTCTAGCCAACTTCACTGCACCAGTTGATGAGCAAAACTGCAAAACAAAACAGAAAAACAACCCAGCAACCATAATCAAAAGCAACACACATAAATCCAAAACCACCAACAAGGTAGGACAAACAACATGGCAAATCTGTCACCTCTAGAGAAAATATGCTATCACTTTGGAGTGGACACAACACACCTGTACAGCCCTCAAGGGTTGCCCTTCTTCCTCTACACCAAATGTTACCTGTATTGAAAGGCTTTGTTATAAGATCCTCAAATATTAACATAATGTTGTCGGCCTCCTAATATGAACAACTTAATTTTGAAAAGACCAGTAATTGTGCATTTTACCAGGTAAAGGAACAAAGTTTTAGGGAGAAGTTAGTTATGTCATTTTAAAATCCTAGAAAATTGTCAAACAAAATAATTAATGAGCAGGCACCTTTTAAAACATGTTTGGATGGAAAGTTTTACTTTATTATTTAATTTGTTGTCTTCATGAATTAGTTTTGGAAGGTTTCTAAACATAGTCATTAACAAGTGAAACAATGACTATTTTTTTAAAATCACAAGCAGTTATCATAACAGCCCAATTATCATATCCATATTTTAAAAGGACAATAGAGACATTAGCTTCTAAGAAACTTTCTCTATACTTTGAAGGTGTAATTTATTGTAATTTCAATCTTGTGGAAACAGGACAGATTGAATAGGTGAAATACTGACATCACTGAAGTCAATGCAACTTTTGACAATGAATTAAATGGAGCCAGAATCTGTGCGGGGTAGTTGGTAACTATTATAAAAATACCAACACCAGGTTTTAAATGATATGAAGGGATAACTAAATCCTTTTATGCACTAGATAACTTTGCTGTGTTTGTATTCTATTATTAATTTATGGATTTTTTTTAAATTGATACTGTACTGTCAACTATTTTATCAAGGCAGGGAGCCAACAACCATTCCAGATCAGCTACTCTGTATAGAACATAGTAAGTTGTTCAAGTGTCTGAAGGGAACAGTCATATTATTCCCCATAGTGTCCCCCCCCTTTTTGTATTTCCATATATATTCACTTCAGATCAGCTACTCTGTACAGAACATAGTAAGTTGTTCAAGTGTCTAAAGGGAATAGTCATATTATTCCCCACAGTGTCCTCCTCCTTTTTGTATTTCCATATATATTCACTTCACACCCGGTCTATTTGCCTGCTATCTGCTCTATCATTTTGGTCTACACCTATTCTCTGGTTGCATCTCAAATATGAGGGTTGCTCTACCACTTTTGCAGCTTCAATCCATCTAGAAAAATTATCTTCTCCCTTCACTTACAGGCACTTCCATTATTCAATATGGAAAATTAAAAATGAAAAAATATTTCATTTTCTTATTGGCCTTTAACATCTCTGACTATGAAATGAAGCCTCCTTTAGACTATGAGAAAATGATTTACTGTTAATATTAGAAATAATTCTAAAGATAAGATGTTATTAGTGCTTGATTCCTCACTCACACCAGAATTAACTATATCTGCATTTCAATAGAGAATAAGTAAAAATGCACTTGTGTTAGTTTTAGTTCTTGACCTCTGAACCAGGCCCTACACTGTTGACAAAAATGATATTACATTTCAACACACCACTGCCACTAGTAACAGGCTTCTTAACATTACTTTTTTACTCGATATTTTCACAGATTTTTTTCAGATTCTGCAGGGTAAGAAATGTTTCTTTCTGTGTGACTTATTCTTGCAGTGAGCAAAACGGGTGCAGTTTTACACTGTTCAATACAAACACAATATAGTATGAGCACATCAAAACATTATATGGGTTAATATTAAAGTATGAAGGACAAAAATATTTTGTACATCTTTGCTAATCTTATTTTTGCTTTACTATAGAATATTTTCATCCAAATATGAAGAGAACAGCTTTGACTCCCAACACAAATATAAAGGCTCACCTGAAGAGCTTCCATTCTGCCTTGCAGCTGTAATCTATCTTCCAAATCCTGACAACGTTCCTCAAGGAATATAATTTGTTCTTGTAGCTGATTTCTTTCCAATTCCAACTCTTCAACTACTGTCCGTAAACCTACATAGTTTGTGGGTCAAAGGGAAAATGTCTATTTCAAGAACGGTTCCAAACAACACACTTCACATACAGATAACTGCCATATAACATAAGTCTGACAAATGCCCACAACCTATTTTGTTTAATTTTCTGCGGTGCTGAGCACCTATAGACTTCAATAGACTTCAGTGGGAATTCTGAGCACCCCTGAAAAACAGGTCATAATATTTATAAAGGCTTTAATGATCAAATATTCCCTGAACTTTTCTAATAATGGGATTAAATTCACAGTTCAAGATCCCATACCTAACCAGCAAAGTTGCCTTGCTATGTGCTAATTGAGGGCCCTGTGAATATTTATGAGTTAATTAATTTTGCTCTAATGAGTGAAGTTGTGTGTTTGCAGAATACAGCCTTAAGCACCATTAACATATATGAAATTAAGTGGTCCATCAAAAGCTGGAAGCTCACCTGTTCAACTGCAAGTAGCAATTTTATTTTAAAGCAGAGCTGACAAAGGAATATTCACTGGGAACACTGACTTTGATCTTTAAGAATAATGTATAAGCATCTTAGAATTTAGTTTACAAAGACAAAAAATTAGTTATACTGTAGGATTACAGTACTCACATTTATTGTATGCAGTATAGTTGTGCTGGTCCCAGGATGTTAGAGAGACAAGATAAGTGAGGTAATAACTTTTACTATCAGTCCAATAAAATATATTACTTCGTCCATCTTGTCTCTGGAATGCTCACATTTGGAAGATTTGCCTTGTGGAAAATGGTATGGGAATGAGTGTCTGAACCAATTCAGGCTAGAGAGCAAACACAGTAAACGATACCTGATATAAGGCTTCTTCACACCACTGTACAGTGCTCTAGGATCAGAGAGACTGCAGCCCTTCTGCACTCGTATATTATTAGCCAAAATCATATGATGGCTTAAGAAATGCTTCAAGAGTCCAGAAGGCAACACCTTCCAAATTGACATAAGTCAATTTTACTGAGTAATATGAGGAATAAAATTGTTTTTAATATTTAAAAAAAATATCCAACTTGTTTAAATTTTTTATTTAAATTAAGTATATGTTACACTTTTATAGGTTATATAAAAAGAATATTAAACAGTACATGCTTGCTGCCAACTGTGAAAAAGTCAGGTTACACTTTTATAGGTTATATAAAAAAAATATTAAACAGTACATGCTTGCTGCCAACTGTGAAAAAGTCAAACCACTGATGCTGGAAGTCATTGAGGAAGCTTCTGGAATCAGAAGCTCTTGGAATCCAAGTTTGTGGGAGCATTAAACCCACTTTTAAAAGCCGCCACCCTTCATTTCAGTTCATTTATCCAGTCTAGTTCAATGACTAGCTCATTCAGAGTTAAGAAACCAATACAATCACTTGATTTCACTAACTACAGGTAAGACTTCCTTTGTTTACTAAATCAGTTAGTGTTAAATGCAAAACATGTTCTGATTAACATTTGTCTTATAAAAAAGTTTATGTATCTAGTATGAAAGGTAGTCCTATTTTATTAAAGAGTGTTAATGTTGGTTTTGTGCATTTTTAATCAAATTTAAATGAATGCACAAGTAAAAAAAGGTTTATCCAACGTAAAAATATAAAATTTATGAATTTGAATAAATGTAAGATAAACTCTGCTAAATTATGTGCTTACCTATAGTATAACCTCCTGATTAGAAAACACCAAAAAAGAAACACTGAATTTAATGTTCAGGGTATATTTAGTGGCAAATCACTATGTTTTAATGGTCATCAACTAATAATAAAACTATAAATGCAAAGCACAATTAAATCAATTATTTAAATCAAGCTTTGCTGCTTGTTGATTTTAATAACCAATAAATTGGTGATTTAAAACATTTTGATTTAAATCAATGCATTTTGAAGCCTAACTTAGGCACTGGGCCAAAATCATTCCCAGTCTTACCTGCATATTCCTTATGCTATTTTTGTTTAATAATCTACTCTCTAAATACAAAGCAGCCAGTTCTGGTGGCATATATTATTAGCTTCTTCAGATATTCTACCTAAGTATAAGTCCACACTACTGGACAAAGTCAAATTAAGATACGCAATTTCAGCTACATTAACAGCGTAGCTGAAGTCAAAGTACCTTAACTCAGCTTTTGGCGCTGTCTACACTGTAGGAAGTCAAAGGAAGATCATTCTTCCGTCCCCTTACTCCTCTTGAAAGCTGAGTTACTGGCATCGACTGGAGTACCCCTTCCACTTTGAATTAGCTGTCTTAACTCAACCACTCATTCAATCCCTGAAAGATCAACAGCAGCAGTTTCAATCTTCCTCTGTAGTGTAGATGTACCCCAAGCGTGTCATATGAAACAATAAATGCTTTTAAAATGGATCAATCAGCTAACAAAACAACTCTGGATTGATGGTTAGCTACAAACAGGTCAGAATTCAGAATTTAAAAGAGAATAACCATGTAATTAAGAGGTATTAGGGATATAAAGGTGCATCTTGCACTATTACAGTGTATTTACATAATATTTTAAAATGAAGAATAGGACATATATGGATCCAAAACAACCAGCTAGAATTATGACAATTCACAGTACAAACTAAATTATGTGCTCAACATTTGTATGTTGCAGTAGTTAATACACACAACTGTAGCCATACAACTTCTGGTTTAAACCAGTATCTGCTGTAAAAAAAACCTGTACAATTTAAATCAGGACTATTCAGAATTGTAAGTATCTGTCCCAAACCCTAAAAGAGCATTAATTTTCCTACTAAGTTCCTAGTTCTCCACCCAGCATACTTGCAAACTTCAACTCAGCATGGTAAAGAAAAAATCAGCTGATTGGCGAGAACAGAGAAATTCAGTGTTTCTTTTTTGGTGTTTGTTAATCAGGAGGTTATATTATATGTAAGCACATAGTTGGGATTGGTCCTGCCTTGAGCAGAGGGCTGGACTTAATGACCTCATGAGCTCTCTTCCAGCTCTATGATTCTGATTCTAACACTAAATAAAAATGTCTGAATTTCTTTTAAATCCTCTATTTCAAAAAATTTAAAAACCTGAATACTCTGTGTGTGTATGTAAATGTTGAAAACTATAACTTCTAAGTTGAATATTCCATTACTTATGATACTTACGAACCTCTCTAGATCCAAACCAGAGAATTTTCTAGATAATCAGAGCTCAATTTTGTCTAGCAGGATTACCAACAAATTCACTGCTTAGTGGGCTGTTAGAGGATTATTAGGGGTAAATTAGAGCTAAATAATCGCACAGAACACTGAGAGCTAGGACTGATGGCTGTAAACAAACTTTAAAAGACCGTGGGAAACTTGGACACACCCATGAAAGTGGGCATCCAGTTAATAAAATCATTCCACACAATGGCTGTTTCTGGATCAGAGTGTGCTAGACTAGAGAAGTTTAACCTGTAGCTGTAGATTTACTTTGATAAGAGATTTCTTCTCACCTAATCTAAAGTATTATTTTGAAAAAGATGTACATGAAAAGGTGAATGAAATGTTTGTAACAAATCTGTTATTCGTGCTATACATTTAGTTTGTAGTAGACCTTTGCAAAACAGCACTAACAAATCCAAGGAACAGCACTTCATTTTTTTTCATAACTAAAGAAGCACTTAGAACAGATGGACTTGACTGATAAACTGTCAATAAGCTACTACTACAACCTTTCACAGATATAATAAATACAGGAAGAAATAATGCACATACATATATGCCTCAACGTCTAATTTTAAAACTAAAAGGACAAAGAAGTGGAATATAATGGTTTGTTGGGAAAACAAGATTATATAGAGTGCAGCCACTTCAAGAAGAACAAGATTAATAACTTAAAAATAGATATAATCTTACCATACAGGACAACACATTTTGATGGGGACAAGGAGTGGGAGAATCCCAGATGTTAAACCATGACTGAGTTCTAGCTCTGAACCAAAACTAGACAGTTCATCCAGCACGCACATGCTTCAAAATGAAATGGAAAAAAAATGCAAGCCAAAAAAAATTCAACAAAGATTAGAATGCACCACAAAATGGGCTGTTAGTTAAATTTGAAATACAAAAATAAACACAAAATACAGATGCTGTGCATGCTTTAATAAACGGTCTAGCGGTTATCACACCTGCATTAGGAGAAGTGTACTCTGGCCACCAACCTCCCATGTTCTCTCCTTCAGCTGAATCAGTACTATCCAAGGTGACATTCAGATCTTCAAAGCATTGTTTTCTATCAAAGCTGTATTCTTCCTATACACAGGACATGAGAGCAGAGATCAATATAAAAGGAACAGATGTATTTAAGATACACACACAGTCGTCAAAGGAAAAGTTGCAGTTAATATTATATGACTGGCTTCTGTATTAAGACAAAATTTTGCTAATTAATTTAAATCTGAGATATCAGAGGTAATTAAATATAAAAAAAATCTTCCTGTAAGATGTGAGCATAATACTGAAGTCTCCTAACCCTACATACTTATGAACAGATAAAGAGCAGAGGTATCTCTAAGAAATAACATCAATGATTACCTCAAAGAAGAACATCAGAATTAACTGATGCTCTTTAGAGACCATCCCATTGACTAAGAGAATAAGCAAATTTTTCCTAAGCTGAAAATAGCTCTTATTAACTAAGGTACTAAAACAATGGATTAACTTCCAGTATTCATGTTGTTCCATGGGAAATTTCATGTTTTATTGTAAAGTAACCTGTAATGTTCATAACCTAAAGAGCAACCTATGATGCAATGGAATTTACCTATATCCTTTTGCACTGTGGTGTCCAACACACTAGCCACTAACTTCATGTGGCTATTTGGCTGGTTGAGTGTGGCTAGTTAGTCAGAACTGATTGGACACCACAGCATCAGTGCTATCTACACCTTTGTTTTGTTTACCTCTGTAAACCTTGTCTATTTTCCTTTTATTATATATTTGCATTCAACTTTAAAGCACCATGGATACTTATGGTGCTATATAAACTATAGAATTATTAGTGTCCCTGATTAACATATAGATAAAATGTGTTTTTTATTTCAATCAACCTACCCGATGTTTTCCGCTGGCCAAGTTGCTCTTCCTTCTTGCCTGCTGCAGCCTGCCAGTTCCTTGAGCTGCAGTCAGTTCCTCCTCCAGCTCCTGCTGCCCTGAGACTATGGCTGGATCAGAGCAGCCAGGAAAGAACCAGTCATCCTCAATCAGTTTTGTGCCACAGGAAAGCAATTACATTTACACATCAGACACACACTAGATACAAAGAGATCAGTGACAGACTGAAGTCCCTATGATTGACTGACAGAAATAAGATTATAGGAGCAATCCACAGCATTCACCTTGTGATTTCCCCCAACAATGTTACACAGAATGTAAGAATAATTTTCACATAATTCTTTCAAAAGTAAGTTAAACTATCATTTTATTTCTCAGCAGGATTTTTGAAAGACTAAATATAAAAGAGAGATTTGTATTTTGACACTATAACAAAAATACAGCCAATTAAATTGCCAAATTAACTCAATTCAACCTGCCAGATTAAAGTACAACTAATTTGTATGATAAAGACATAAATGGAGATTGCTGTATTTTTGTACACCTGAATAATCACATACTTTTTTATGGAAATGAAATGCTTCTTGTTTATATTTTTAACTTTAGTATGAGTTACAGTGTCAGATAATTAGAGGAAGTCACAAGTATGTATTACACTGCAAACTGGCATCAAACCATCTTATCAAACATTAATAATTTGATTCTTGGTGAAACAAACATAGAATCACTTGTAAATAACACACACTAAATAAATTCAGAATATGAAATCTTAAAAATGCATCCTGTCCAGTGTTAGAAATGATTTTTTCCATTTTAAGTACATTCCCATCTGTTTTGTGATATGACAAAATGTGTGATAGGTGAGGTAATAGATGTTTCATGCAAAGCAGACAAAACAACATGAATAGAGATAAGGTGGCTCCATACTCTAATCACTTTTATCTCTGCTCAAATTTGACACTCAACAAATTAATTCAATTCAAAGTGAATTCTCCCCATATTCCATGATGTTCATAGAAAAACTTACATCCATGCATTAATGAGGTAAGTAATGGATCAAATTCAACACCGGGGTAACACTGGGACGGACTGATTCCCCCTGGAATGCCTTTGACCTAACGCAAGTTATACTAATCAATAATCATAAAATTCCTCCCCGCCAAATGATAGAATTAATGGAACATTACAAGGTAATATGAAATATCACTGGAACTCTATAATGCTAGGTAGAATTAAATTACTTTTTTAAAAGTGTTTTGTATGGGGCACCATTAAGTTAAAATTCACATATTTTATGGTATTTCCATAGCTATGTTACTACCACCACTTTAAACTAATAAAACTAAAATCCGCCAGACAGCTAGTTTATGATGGGTGGTTATATGTTTTGCCATTTATTTTGGTTGTTTACTTTTTGCATTTACCTGCATGTGGTCAGTTAAAATAAATTACCCGTTTTCGCTTTTGCTTTTAATCATGTTTTGGTTTCAAGCATTACAACAACAATTCAATGCTAAGTTGCAAACACTGTTTGGGAATCTTCATTTGTTTTTATTTAAACATGGTTTCCACTTGAATTAAAATTAAATTTCTGATATTTTGTAAGAGTGAAAAATTCTGATATTTATACAAATAGTACCACTGAAATCAATGGAATCATTTGTGAAGCAAGATGCCATTCACTGATAGTACAAGAATTTGGTATAAAAAGCTAACAAATTTAAAAAGTAAACTTTGCAGTGACCCAATGAAATGATTTACCACTTAATAAATTATATCATACCAAAATGACTAATGACTTTCCCTATTACAAAGAACTAGCAATCTGAGGATCTTAGAACTGTCAGATAAGTTGCATATTTTCCTTACAATTTCTGTTAATTTAACAAGTATTTTAACATTTGCTGTTAATACAGTTTTCTAAAGTGATAGATCATGTCACAACTTGGAAGCTCTGACCTGCAATTACTTCTGAGAGAAAAGCTGATCATTTCAGCTCCATGGCTCAATCTTGCAAATAATTATACACAAGTTTCCTCACAGAGACACACTGCCATTAACAGAACTATGAATAATGTGAGAATAGTCACTTGCCTGCATCAGCATCCTACGATTAAGTATCATAATGATATCAAATGTGCAAACAGATCCAACTCATGCAGCTCCCCACTGCACCTAATACAGGTGTTCATGCTAGCACACTGATTACAAGATAGAAGCCTACAATGGCAGCCTCCCGGTAAAGCCACCACAGTCCCATTTTCTGGAGTTACCAATGCAGAGACAAGGATCTCTGCAAATGGGTTTGAAATATACTATTCAAATATATAGTTATATTTAGTAAACATTTATTTCAAGTTCTATCATTTGGTAGAGTGAATATTTAAGATGTGGGGTTGTTTTTTACATAAAATAGAGGTCAGAATTTGATTCTTAGCTATTTATTCAATCATTACAAGCTGTGCAGTTTTCCTTTAAACCAGGTTACAAGTTAAATATGGAGTCAGCTATTAATACAAAAGAGAATGAAGAAAGATGATTCTGTTAATATAAACAAAGAAATAGGCATTGCAAGAGGAAAACTTAAGTTAAAAAAACAGCATTTGTTACATGTATTATTAAAAAAAACCACATACACCAACAGCAGCTGTTATAAGGTACTGTTGATGAATTCCTCTAAAGAAATGTCTACAGAGAAAAACAGCAACAGTACATTACAGGTTGGCACGGCTGGAACCTGCATGCACAAAACTGATGGGAAACTATGTTCTCAGTGGCTGACCAAATCGCAGTGTAGGGTAGGAGTGGAGGGGGAAGGGACGCTGAGTGCTCATCAGGTGTAACGGCAGGAAAAAAGAAACAGAAAGATCATGCATATCCCAAGGGGAACAAACTGCAAAATTAAATACTGACTGGACACATATGAAGTTTTACAACTATTAATATTATTGCATAAAGACCCATTGACAACACTCATTAGATCAGTAATATTTAAAATTAAGAGAGTTTATTCCCTTCTCAGTGCCCAAGGGGTTAGATGTATAAACCTCTCACAGAGAACACAAATGGCCCTTAAATATTTTGAAATTTTCTGAATGAACTTTGAGATCTATCAACTGAGTCTCAAAAACATTCAAACTACATATTAACAAAATGCCAAGCAAATTAACCAACAGGATATATATTATTTATAGATGGTGCCTTCAATCCACATTCAGATACAAAGGGGAAAAAGTTAAGGTAAAACTACCATGGAGGGAGGAGGGAACAAATAAAAATTAATCTGAATCTACTGCTTAGACTTTTTCATAAGTTTGATTTTTCAAACAGAAAACACTTGGAAAATGTTCCACTACGGTGACTTTATAGTGGTCATAAAGTCTCAGATCACTTGTATTGGTAGTTTTGATATAATATTTAACATTTTACTAGCATCTGTTGCCAGTTCTCTCCATTTGTCTGGTCAGTATCAAACACATGTTTGTTAGTACATCTCATAATATTTGGTTATTGACATTTACAGATAAGCTCTGAATTTCATGTATATTTTGCCAAAGCACGACTTTCTATCCCATCACCAAATTTTAACAACACTGTAGCTCCCCATATCTTCTCAAATTTGAGATAAGCAGCCAAGCAGCTACCATTTTCATACTTAATCATTCAAGTGAAGTCATTAAGCTTCTAAAATAAATCCAACTAATGACCCCAAAGATAAGCAACTCAGATAGCAAAAGCTAACAGACTAAAACATCCACCAATAAACATGATGCAAAGTGACGAATGTATGAAACAGATGGAGTCAAGGAAACAATCCAATATACAAACTGAATTACTGTAACCACTGTATTCTGCTAACTTCACCAGCCATATAAATCTTCCTTGACTACAGAAGTGAGAAATGGAGGAAATATACCAATTTTGTCTGAACTGCACAAACACAGCAGATCTGTGATACCTGCTATGCTGGCATAATGATCTAGTTTTATCTTAAATACTTGAATTTACCTTCTCTGTCCTCTTCAATCTGTGCCATTCTCAGGGCTATGGCAGATTTCTCCTCTCTGACTTGGTCATGTACTTCCTCTGATTCCGGGACAATCTCCTGCCACTCCAAAAGCTGACTCTGAAACTCATCCACACTGCCTGATTCACTGGTCTACAAAATAAGTTAGATATTAAAATACCACTTATCAAAATACATGTAATAGTTAGATTGTAAACTATTCAGGCATATAACTTTAACCTCTGCGCTTCGCTTTACAGCTTTATGTAAGTAACAAATACAAATAAGACCAAATAAAGTAGATAATTTTTTTAACATTAAAGACTATGTTAACAGAAACACTTGCAAGGTCATCTTTAACATAAAAAAGCCACAAAGCTGCTTTTAAGTGATCGCATAGGTTGTTTGTTGATTTTTTAACTGAAAAGCTGTTTTAACCAAAATGGCTTACTTGAGAAAAACAAACATTTTCAAGGAAATTCTTCATTGCAGTCAAAACTGTTTACTTTTTGGGAGAAAAAAATGGAAAAATCCACTCAACTCCTTTTTCTTCTCTAAGTACACAAAGTAAAAAAGTGGAGGTTTTGTTTTTTATTCACACATCAAAATAAGAGTTTATGGGGGAAAATTTTAAATGGCTTCAAACTTTTGCCATTACAAATTTAGAACAAAAAATTAATGTCCTTTAAATTTTTTGCAAAATATGATTATGTTTTTTCAACCTGCCCTGCTGGTTACAAATTTAGAACAAAAAATTAATTTCCTTTAAATTTTTTACAAAATATGATTGTTTTTTCAACCTGCCCTGCTGGTTACACTGATATCAGGATTAATGAAACAAGATCCATCATTCACATAGCTATTTAGCAAATATTTCTAAAGTACCCCTCCCCCTCACTTTTGTATCTGAATCTATACATTTGTGTTAGAACTGAATGTTAACTAATTGATTATATCAATTTTGTTTGTACATTAAATAATAACATTCTGACATCTCCTGAGTTATCTGTAACTAGATAATTAGATGAACACTACATTAACTGTTCATAATTACATGTATTTTCTACATATGCAGGCACTCAATAGCAATTTCAAAACAAATTGAAACCTTGAAGCTTTTTAGCTGAATGACTCAATTCTGTATGCTACTAAATTAAATTTTAAATCAAAGGCCAGTTTCCAATAATACTATTTTGAAGGGTACAGTTAGTACTGTGAAGCTAATCAACAATTCACATTAATCAATTTTAAACAGAAAACCTGTGAGGCTGCCCTCTTTGTAACTTGTTCGAGATCAGCCTGCAGTTTTCGCTGCTGCTCTTCATATATTTCCAGCTTGACTAGCAGCTCTTCTGCAAAAAACAAACTGGCTTCATTATTTGTTGTCAAAATAACATGGTAAACAAACAAACAAACAAACATATAAAGGAAGAGTTACATCCTAAACTGAGATCATAGAATCATTTGGTTTGGAAGGTGTCAACAATGGGCTGTGTGGTCCATCTCCCTACAACAGCTATGGCCAACCCGCGGCTCGTGAGCCGCATGGGGCTCTTGACCCCCAAAAGTGTGGCTCACAAAGCCCCCGCCAGCTCCCCCACCGGCTTCCCTGAGCTTACCGGATCAGAGCTATGGGGTTTTAAAAATGGCGCCCAAGATGGCGGCCGTCTTAAAGGGGCAATCGCCTATTTTAAAAAAAAAATTGTTTGTTTTTGCTCAACAATTCTGTTCTGAAGGGTTTGATTTGGTCTTTTTTTTTTTTGATTGACAATTCTGGTGCGGCTCTTCGCATTTTTTCCGCCACTGTTTTGGCTCTCTGTTAAGTGGGTTGGCCACCTCTGCCCTACAAAATTAATTCAGATTATTACTAATAGCAGTCAGTGTTTTAAATCTATATCAATGACACCCAAAACTATACAGAGAAGTACTATTATCCCCATTTCATAAATGGGGAACTGAGGCACAGAGCTATAAAGTGCCTTGTACAACATCAAACTAGCAGACCAGGAATCTAAACTCAGATCTCTTCTATCTATGTGCAGTGCCTTGTCTTACATCACAGTAACCCACAGCACAGTTTGCTTCAATACTTTCTGCTCAAAGAAGCCAACTATAAAGTGTATGAGTGTCAAGGACACAGATATAATAAGGACACAGATAGTACTGAAGGGGGAAGCTTACAAACTCACTATGGCTACGTCTACACTACACACCTTTTTCGAAAGAGGCTTTTTCAAAAGATACTTTCGAAAAAGCCTCTCTCAAAAAAGAGTGTCTAGACTACAATAGGTATTTTCGAAAAAGCAAGCCGCTTTTTCAAAAGAGCACCCAGGCAGTGTGGATGCTCTCTTTCAAAAAAGCACAGTTTGCATTATATAGCGCCTTTTTCCGAAAGAGCACTTTTGAAAAAAGGCGTTCTTCCTCATAAAACAAGGTTTTCCACAGTCGAAACAACTGCTGCATTCTTTTGATTTACTTTTGAAGAATTTGGCAGCAGTCTAGACACAGGGGAAGTTTTTTCGAAAAAAGACCACTTTTTTTCGGAAAAACCCTGTAGTCTAGACACACCCTATCTGAAATACACGTAGCTGTATCTCTTGCTGCATTTCTCAGTTTCATGAAGAAAATTTAACTTTGCAACCTCAGTACAATAAAACAGAATAATTGCACTGCTATTATGCAATGTATTTCAAATTCAAAGCTGCCAAGTTTGAAAGCTTATCGCAACAAAGACAAAAAATTCCCCTTCATTCTTATTTTATTGCAAGTCATCCATTCAAAAACCCCTTATTTTATTGCAAGTCATCCATTCAAAATCTAAGATGACAGATTAAAACCAAAAAACAACACAATCGCTTCATTACCATTTTGAGTTCTGAGTTCCGAAAATGCTTGCAGTTTTGATTGCAGTTCTTCCCTTTCAATTTCTAATTCTGAGATACAGTTGTTTAAGGCAGATATGTCATTATTCTTTGATGATAACTATAAAGAGAAACATTGTTAATTTCCTTCAAATACACTGAAATGCCAAAATCAAGATAAAAACAGTACTCAGAAAATCATTTCTCTATCTTTTTAAATAAGATTTAGAGTAACAATGTATCTAAAACAGTAAAGTGCAATAGGTTAATATAAACTGGAAGACCTCTTCCTTTGTGTTTAAATTAGTCTATACACTTCTTATCAGAACATTACCTTGAATAAATGTTTTAAATTCAGGAACATCAATCCTTTTCTTTTTATATATAGGCACTTTCTAAAACCCCATTTAGTGAGCCTTTTACACTGCACTTTAGTGCTTTTTAATCAAATCTACAATCACAACCCACTGTAAAGTAGACATGCTAATTTTAAAATGTTACATGTACAGCTTTCAGCTCATCCTCCAGTTGTTTGATTCTTGATTTGGACCAAGCCTTCATTTTAAGGAACTTAGCTTCAGATTTGCTGGCCTCTTCTGTTTTCAGCTTCATTTGAGCTAGCAAACAAACACCATAATCATAATTTAGCATTCTAGTCAGAAGATTGAAGTAATTCTAAAACATATTTCAGGATTCCACTTGTTCTATTTTCTCAGCAATACTTGCTAAATTTCTATGCTACAGTCATACCTAGAAGGTAAAAGAGATTACTCAAAAATGATAGGCCAAATTTAGATGTACTGTAATGTAATTAAGGATGTTAAATTTAGATTAATCAACTAATCGAACAGTAGATGTAATATGCATCAACTATTCGATTAGTTGATAAGGGCGCCTCTGCCTTTGAAATGTACGAGAGCCCTCTTGGGCTTCCCACAGTAGGAGCGGATATAGGGCAGGGCGAGCGGGGTAGCCACCCCAGGCCCCGCGCATGCACGTGGCGCTACCGCACATGCACCATGGCAAAGGGGGGCCCCGCAAAATTGGGCTGCCCTGGGCCCCGCAAAATGGTCATCTGCCCCTGCCCCACAGCATTTCTGCTTTTGAAATGTAGCAAAAGCCCTTGCTACATTTCCAAGGCAGAAATGCCGCCAGTTCCCCGCTGTACCCCTGCCCCTTCTCCCCTCCAAGATGGTGCTGGGAGGAACCAGCTTTTAAATCAGCTCCCCCCAGCACTATATCCTGTTCCTCCCCTTGCTGCCTCTCTCTGACAAAGAGGGAAGCGACTAGTCGAATCACTAGTTGACTATCCGATAAGCATTTGTTTATCAGACAGTCGACTAGTCACTTACCTCCCGCAAATAATGTAATGTATCAAGTTATTTTTAGAATCCTCTTCTCCATAGCATCTAAGCATCTACCAACTTATTAAAAAGTACCCACAACTCCTCCTCCACTACAGTCAGTGAAGCTGTATCCAGTTTATACCAGGTGTGAAATTGATACACAATATACAACAGTGTGACAAGGAAATTCTTCAAATTAAGTATTACACTTCAATGTGATACCTTCTAGCTGTTCCATCTGTTGTTTAATTACAGCATCAACATCTATAGCTTGTTCTGAGTTACTTTGCCCATTATTTCTTAATGCTGATACTTGTTTCTGAAGCTGCAGAAGAGCTTGGTCTTTCTCTTGCAGCTCAGTTTCATGCTTCTCTTTGATCTCATGAACTTCAGCATTATGTTTCTCCCTCATCTTTGTCATTTCAAGTTCCTGTTTCTCCATCATGTCTCTTAGTTGGGCTCTCATTACATGTTTCTCAGCATCCAGTTTAGACTGGAGGTTCTCTTTCTCTGACTGAAGACGTTTCAAGTTTTCATTAATTTCCTGTATTAAAAAGAGAAAATTCTTCTAGTCGCTCAGATTTTCTACATGTACCCCTAATCTACTGCAATGCAGATGCAACACTCTTTAGAAAGAGATCACTGCTAGTGCTGGTCATCTTGGAAGCATAAGGCTTTATTGTCTATATCTAACATCTGAATTCCCTAGCAGTACCTTGAAGATACAATGGAGGCTCTGCACTGCTCTAGTGCTAATTGCATCCTGACCTGTGTTGTAGGAGAAAATGCCCCCTTATAAAGAATAAAGGGAATAAAAAGGGGGAAGGTTTTTATGAAAAAACCCACATACAAAGCTCCGCTGAGTTCTGAAGAACCCTGGCTCCTCTGAAAAAACCCACATACAAAACTCCGCTGAGTTCTGAAGAACCCTGGCTAGAGTTTCATTTTAAAATTCTTACACAGGAAATTAGAGATGGAAAAATTCTAAGTCCTTTTACCTGTCCTTCTGATCTTTCCCCTACATCATCTACTGTTTTGTCTACTAGTTCTTTGCATTTTGGCAATTTTGTTGTTAGTAGTTTCACATTAGCTGCTTCACACTAAGGCCAAGTCTACACTAATGGGAAAGGTTGAATTAAGACACGCAACTCCAACTACATTAATTACAGAGCTGGGGTCAACGTACCTTGATTCAAGTTTCCCTGCCGTACCCACAGCAGGAGGCCAACAAGAGCTGCCGACAAAAGCACCTGCTAAGTTTGATTTAGCTGGTGTTTACTACCATTGATCTAATAGAGAGGTAGAGCAAGACTGCAGAATATATTTATAAACGTATAGCCAGAACAAATCAACACCTATTTAATAACAACTACTTTCATAGTAAGTCCTAGACTATGTACTCAACCTTGATCTAGAAAGTCTGAGACAGGAAACTAACAGCACATTGTATGTATTTGAGCTTAAGCAAAGCAAAAAGAATACCACAAATTGAGAGCAAGATGGAAAAGTTCAATTGATTAAGATGGAAGAATAATCGGGGGAAACCTTCACATGTGCTCAACTCTTGGCCTTTTCATCCCTAGTGATAATTCCATGTTAAACAACTGAACATTTTCATCAGAAATATATAAAAATCACAAGGGAGATCCCAATATACATAACCAATCACAATTTAGATTACAAAAGTAGAAACCGCTAAAAAAGTTATCTAGTTTGGATAATAATAATTCAAGTATTCTCAATGCATACAGACTCAATGAGGTATAAGTATCTGTGTTCATGACTCTAGAAAGTCCTCAGAAGAGTCTGTTAGAACAATTACACATTGGTAACAAAAGAATAAGCATGTGAACGAATGACAGATCAACAGCATTCACTATAGTCTGTTAAAGAACACTTTAAATAAATGTTCTGCAGTTCAGCAAGATACTATTAAGTACTTTAGTCTGGAAAATTTTCAGACATAAGTAGGCAAGTGGTGTTTTCCCAGCTCTCTTGTATATGCAAATATTTTCCCTTGATTCCTTTAAAAGCTGTGAGAGTACAGTGGATTGTCAAAAGAACTGTTGCACACTGACTCCATCAAATATAATCAATTATAAACCTTTTTAAAATTAATTATCTTAAAATTAAAAATGTTAATCTTTAAAATATGGGGGGAAACAAAACATTTTCTAAGCATTCTGAAGTGAGAATTTCAAAAGAGAAACAATGACAAAGCTTACTCAGTTTCAGTTCCTGTTCCACAAACCTTGAAATTGCCATAGGGAGTAATTTTATTTGATTAATTTTATACCAGCAGTAATAAAGCCAGTTTTTTTCATCTGGCCAATTCTGAACTTGACATTATGATCCATATCTTTATCACTGAAAGGTAAAATCTGCTGCAAAACCATTAGAACCAAAAGAAACTGGGACAACCAATCTAAGTGAAATTTCCTCATAAAAAGCACTTTGTCCTGTGGAACAAGACTTGCACTAGTTGCCTTCTATTGGTTCCTAGATACAATTTAAGGTGCTCGCCTGTGTTAATCTTTCTTCACCTCCTGGTCTGCAGCTCATGATTCTTTTTCCTATTGCAGTAGCATTCAGTTGCCCCAGCTGGGATCTGGGTTCATACAATGAGGCACTGTGTGTACACAAAGGAAGACAAGGAATCTCTTCCTTCTAAAACCTGCAATTTACTTAGGTATTGTAGTTGCAAACAAGAGAAACACTCAAGCTAGAATCCTTTCCATTTAAGAGGGCTGCTAGCTGGACATCAGTTTTGCAATTCGCCCTTCCCTTCTGGATCTGAAATAACCCAAATCCATTGAACTTAAGGGCATACTGTAAAAAAATATTATTCCAGTCTTCTGAGGGGATAGGTCAAGTTAAGGGTTGATATCCATGAGTGGGATAGAATATTTAGGGGGAGAAAGGTGAAGGAAGGGTTCATTTTTATTTTATTTTCAGCTTGTTATTTTCTGGTTTATACATGTTGGCATGATTACTGTGTTTTTACCAAAGGCACCTACATAAAGGGTCTAGCCAGTGCTGTATGTATAAGTCTGAATAAATAAAATCGAAGAACTTACAAAATTAATTGGTTTTTCACTCACTGACTAGACAATTTACAGTTTCTTACTTTCAGCAGTTGGTCCTTGCCATCCAGTTCTTTCTGCAGCATGACTATCACCTGCGTCCTACCCAGCATGACTTCCTCCTTTTCATGTAGCTTCTGTTTCAATGCCTTTAGTAACTAGCCAGGGAAATAAAGGAATTACATTTTACAGGAAAGAAAAAAAAAGAAGGCATTTCTTCCATCTTCACAAAATATCACCTGAGCTATGCCTCACAAAAGTGTGTTGCTTGCATATTCTTCTCTACCTATCCTCCTACAAAGCTACCCAAATCGAAGCAAGTCAGTGTGTTCCCACTGCCAATATACCTGTTCTAGATCAGCACTGGCATCAGATTTAGCAATTAATTTAAAGAGCTCTTGCTCGTGTTTCTGGGCTTGTCCAGCCAGTTCCTTCTCCTTTTCCTGGATAATATTCTGAAACATGCGTATCTGAAAACAAATTATAAAAAGTAAGATTGAAATAACCCCACACGACACATTTATACATGACAGAATCATTAAAAAATACAGCCAACTAAATGGATTAATATTGACCATTTGAAGGACAAGATCTACTTTCAGCTACACAAGGTAAATCTAAAGTAACTCCAGTGAAGTCAAGAAATTTAACTAGAATAAATACAACTTTAATAAGAGTAGATTTTTGCTCAGAGGGAATATCAATGTAGTAAAAGTACATTACAAATATAATATTTTATTTGGCCTCACATATTTCGAACCTCCTGCTTTGGTTGTTTCCCTTATAATTCTTTAACCTTTCCTCTCTACATATACCTGCCTGATCTTTAGCCACTTCTATTTTCTCCCACCTCTTCCCAAACTGAAGCTTGCAGGACAACTAACCCCATTTCCAGACTTGTTTTTCCTGGTCACCTAACAAGTTTTGTCAAGAACAGATGTAAAACCACAGGACCCTGACCATTAATGAATATTTTAAAAATATATTTTTTAAGGTGAACAGTCAAGTTAGTGCCAGTATTCCAGATATATTTTCATTTGACTAATTGCATTCTGCATCTTCAAAATAGCTTCTGTAATTTCACCTGGATACATTATTCTTTACTTCCTATCCCAAAATGAGTAGCAGTACTGAACACCATTAAACAGCTGCAGTCTCCTCTGTGGTGAGAATCAGCATTTCTAATATGGGTCAAGTCACATCTAATATAGTCTATAAAGCACTCCGGGAGTGTTGGGATGAAAACAGTTATCCATTATATTTCCTCCTTCCAATATGTTTAAATCCCCTTCATTTTAGTGACACAAGCCACTCACAGAACACCTAAAACCATTTCCTAATTCACTTTTACATATGCTTTAATCACCATCTCGATCACTACTGAAGAGATCTTCAAAAATCAAGACATACACCAGTAAATTAAATGCGCAGATACAGTGGTAAGGGGCACAAAAACTGTTATCAACACTGGGTCCATCAAGACCTACACCTGTAAATTAAATGCACAGATACAGTGGTAAGGGGCACAAAAACTGTTATCAACACTGGGTCCCAAAGACTTAATCGTTTTTACAATTTAGTCACTTACATTTTCTATATACATGGCTTCTCTTTCCTGGAAATGATCTCTCTCTTTGAGCTGAAGGTTTTTAAGACTCTCAATCTGTTCCTGGAGCAGGCTACATCTTTCTTCGCTGTCTCCAACCTTCTTGGTAAGGTTTTGAACTAAAATCTGCATGCTCTGCAGTGAAGACTCTTTCACAGACAGCTGATTCTTTGGAGAGCAAGATACAAGACAATTAGATAAATGTAGCTGGGACTAAAAAAAATGAAGCAACATGCATTCATTAACCTTTTCAAAGATAAAGCTAGCTTAGATTTAGATTTCAACTTTTAAATTATCAGTGAAATCCACTAGCTCATTCCAAAATAATACTAAGATTTCAAGTTGCTTTTGTAAGTAGGACTGGAAAAAAATTATGAACAAATAAAAATTCATCAGCTTAACTGGAATTTATCAGAATAGGACTTTTCTTCATATGAGCAATGGTGCAAGACATACGGGTATGTTCCCTAGTGTAATGGAGCAGAATCCTTTGACTCTTACGTATTGGTCTGCGTATAGGTCTACACAGATTTGCCATTTGAGCCACCATTCACCAACATATACGAAAGGTGTACCTTCAATTCTTCACTAGGGGCAAGTGTTTCTTTCCTAACATTGCTTGAGTCACATGCTAACTGCAAATCAATGATGTAGGCTTCTTTTTCAGCGAGTTTCTTTTCCTTCTCTGCAAGCATGACATCCATTTCAGTTCCTCGCTGACGCTGGGCTTCCAATTCGGCAATCTAGAAATGAAGATATGGCTATACTTGTAAGTTATATTTCTATCACTCACATAGGGTTAAGAAGGGATTGCATTACCACTCCACCTGCTACCTCTTCCAGGTTCCTGAGACCATGAAAGTAGGGATGCTAGCATATATCTGAATAAACAATTAACAGATAGGCTTAGATTTATCAGTTAATCCTATTGACTACACCAGGGGTAGGCAAGAGACATCTTGCAGGCTGCCTCTAGCCGGCCAAGCCACCACATCCGTCCTGCGGCCCACCCTGCCAGGACCCTCAGGCACGCAACATCCGTGTGAATCTCTGCTCTGGAGGGAGACGCTAGTGATCTGCTGCCCCCAGTCCAATTCTCAGCTCCTATTGGCTGGAAACAACTGTATCAGAGGCAGCAGCACAAGGTGGCAGGCAGCCAGTTCAGGGGTGGGGGAAGGGGGAGCTGGTTTTAAACTGGCTACCCTCAGAGACCAGCTCCCACATGGCACTCTGCGCTGCTGGCTCTGCTATAGAGTGGGGCCAGAGCACACTGCCTACCGGCCTCGCCCCTGGGACTACTGAAAAGTCATGTAATCAACAATATTTTATGTGGTTACACAACTATTCAATTATACGACATCTAACATTCCTACATGAAAGTCAAGTTTCTGACAAGATCAAATTTTGAGTACAATGGAGCCTGGTATTAGCCCTATTATCCATGCAATTTCTGCACAAACAGCATTC